CTCATCTCAGCACATCCTCAACTAAGTGTTAGACAAAAGCCTGAGACATTTCGGAAAGAGTTAAAAAGCATTCTACTTCCACCTACCAATAAATTACCATGTATATTACATCGTCGAGCTGATGCGCTATTTTGCCGCCTAAGAGTGGATGTCTCTGCGCTTAACTTCCACTTCAGACAACATAAACTTGTTTGCAAAAATTTCTGCAATAGCTGTTTTTCTCTGTCTCCGTCAATAAAGGTTGTCGAAAATCAAAAGAAATATAGTCATAAATAAGTAACTTCGAAGTGGTGAACACTAGTATAAAGAGAAATATTTCCTAACGATGATAAAGTTTTTTAAATGTTCAGTTTATAAATCGAAACTTTTCATGTCGAAATAAACTTCTGCAATTCTTCTATGTGACTCTGCTTTTCCATAATCATAAGGATAAAATTCTTCAATTATTTCAAATGGTTGATTAAAATGTTTTGATGATCCGAAGTAAAAACGTTTGCTACGATACACTTCACCAATCGTTTTGTGGATAACGACTGTTTTATCAATAGAAAAACTGAGACATTTTATCACCGCTTGTCTAAAATATTGTAAGGCACTTCCATTGTTGCCATTGAGTACATAAAGAATTCCTATCTGATGAAGATACTTAGTAATTGATTGAGAATCAAGTAGATCGTTGCTCGTTGATAATTCATACGTTTCCATTGCATATTTTAATAAGAAATCATATTGTTTACTCAACTTATAAAAGTCAATAAGTTTTTCAAGGTAAAGGATTTTAAACGATCTATTGTCTCAACCGATAATAGTCGATCTATATTACTGTCGAATTTATTACTGTAACCAAACATTTATCTTTAAGCATTCAAGCATTCACCTTAATTGAAATAAGCGTGCTAGCAAATTACTTTAATTTTTTGATATTCATCATATTGATCTGATAAAGATATTTGCTCTAATAAAGATTCATAATACGGAATAATTTTATCATATTGTCCAACCTTGTTTAAATACAAATCAAGATCAGTTTCAATTCCAAATTTATCCTTATTTTCCATATCTTCTTGCAGTGTCGAATATAAGCATTTTTCAATTGTACGATATCATTTGCAATTATCATTGATACATGACATATGATTTCTTTGTCATAAACATTTGTTATTTTAAATGTTGCGCCGAAATCAAATAGAACTTGTTCGTTTTCCATTCAATTCACTTGGGAAATACCACCGTATATTAAATTATCCAATTCTGCATTAATTTCAATGTCAGATATGACGTTGGCAGCAAATACTTAAGCAACCGTTGATGATTTTAGTGTCGATAAAAAACCATTTGGCGACACGTAACTACTTATATTTGATCTCAATTTGTCAATTCCATTCTTGTCCATGATTATAGCACCACAATATACTTTCAAACCTTCTGAGACACCATACTCATTTTGTCGTATACATAAGGGATGTTCGTCATAAAAATTTCATTTTTAAATATTTACATAGACCAACAATAGCATATCGCAATTTGAATCAAATCTATGTATGTTTTGTTCTCAACACTCTATTAGTAAAAGTGCATAAAAAGCCAGCTTTTGAATAGCACATGATCCGAATCATAAGTTTGTTCAAATTCATCAATTTGTTGCAAGTATTGTTTATTATTTCGATAAGAGAATCGACAATAGTCAACCTTTTTCTTGTTTACAAACAGCTCTTTAATGAGTTTCCATGTCCATTAACATATCGCGAAACAATCGATATTACAAATATTCAACTAATTTTTGAGGAGAGGTGTTCCAATTGACTTGTCTGTAGAATCAAATAGATTAAAAATTGTTGAAGATGTTAATTAAAAAACGTATGGGTTTATCTAATCGTTCAAATAATTCTTCGTATTTTGCACATATAGCGACTAGTTTTCGCGAATTTTTTCTTTCATCAATTAAACCTTGTAATTTTTCATGCAAACTATATAAACTGATTCGATTTTAGAAGCATCGTTTATCATTCATAATGTTTGTCGAGTATATGTGCAGTAAGCAATAAGAATAATTTCATGTTTTTCAATTTGATCGATCGTTTTCATTAGCTATTCAGTTGCACGATACAAACAATATGTTTGTGTATGCTATCAAGTCGTTGTTGAATTGTTTCATCCACTTTAATGTCGAAGCGTATAACTGTTACATCGTCGTCTTTATTCAAATTAAATGTATTTTTTGCCATTTCAAGATCTTTATCTTTCATCAATCGGTGACGATCAAGAAAATGCTTCTCACGAGTTATCATCGATTTATCAACGGTTGTCTGCGGACATATGAAGGGTAAAAAAGACACGTTTAACTCAAACATGTTTATTAGGAGATCAGGCGCCCAGGAACATCGTAGGTCCACTTTGTATAAAGTACACAAAACACATTAAAAGAAGGAAGAAAACAATAGTATGGAAAGGAATCTTTCATTCTACGTCATTTCAGTTTCCTAAAAGATGTTCTAAATATAAAGAACTGGTAAAAGGTTTCGATCAAGTTTTTTGCAAGAGAACAGGTTCAAATTTTTGCGATGCAATGCTGAGAAATTTAGATTAACATATTGCTTCTTGTCATCAGAGATCCGCACGGGCCGGAAATCTCTAGCCCGGCCCGGCCCGATGAAAAAACTTTTCAGACCAAGCCTGGCTCGGCCCGATCAAATATGAAATTTATCTGGTCCGGTCCAACCACTCCTAAAAGTTTTCTGAGTCGGCCCGGTCCGATGAAGAAAGTTTCTGGAGCAGGCCCAGTTCGGCCTGACTAAGCATGAAATTTATCTGGCCCGGTCCGAACACTCTTAAAAGCTTTCCGATCCCTAGCAGGTATTTTTTTCTTGCATCTGTTTTGCTTTCACTGCCTAAGTGATGCAAAAATGTAGTTCTCTAGCTAATATTTATATTTTCATGTCTTTTTGGTTTTCATTTTTTCAACTTTTATAGGCATAAGATAAACTTATTATTCAGGTACATATATGAAAAACAAGCAGAAATTAGTTTAAACCTTTATTAAAATGAAAAACCTGAGCACAAAGGGTTAAAAGAAACCCACTTTAGCACTATACACAGAAACACACACATGTAAACATAAAAATCTAAAACATAACAAGAAGAGAAAAAAGAAAAAAGAAAGAAAAAGATCCTCATCTTATCCTTAAAGAGATGTTACACTTGCACTGTTGGTTACAATGGTTTTATTGAACCTAATGATGCTCAAACTAGAACTGCAACTCAATTACTCTCATCACATGTAGCAACCACTTGATCAAACTTACTGTTGATACATGACAGATGGAATCCAGGCTGCTTAAAACGATTAGTCGTAGATATAAATTTTAAAACAGAATGATATATCGCTATCATATCTTCATATTCCATAGAGTCATATAGCATAAGTAATGACATTGTTATAGTTGCCGTAGGCATTATGTCAACAATCTCAGAGAATAGCAATTTTCGTTGGTTTTTGTACAAGGGACAATGGAGGAAAAAGTGTTCAAGTGTCTCATTTGCACCACATACACAGTACGGGTCAGCGGTGAGATTACTAATGTACAAATCATGTCTTAGCTGAGTCCGATGAACTCGACATCGACAAAAATGTATTTCATCTAAGCGATTATTTGCAATTGGAAGCCTTTTCTTGACCATTGTTTTAATTTTCTTTTTAAAAGAATTCAGCTTCGTTATACTTCGTGTACTAAATGTTAATTCTTGCCAATCAATACGAGCATGGTAAAAAAAAGATTCTCTAAACATTTTTATTCTGGGACGTGGCTGCCAGTGCTGATCATTTTGCTGACTACGAGTATTATAGTTATGAGTAGGAACTGAATTGTTCGTTGAAGAGGATATTAAGTCAAACAAATAATTAGGTGACTTAGTCACTAATATTGTATGATATGTAACAATTCTACTTCGATGAAAGCACTCCTTCATAGACTCCCAATCGATGTCCTTCAAGACCTTCTCATTACTACTACCTTTCATAGCTCCTGTTACTGCTAACGCCGCATGATACTACAGCTTATGAATACTCTCAATATTGGAATCGGATGTGTTACCATATATGATACTACCGTAATTAAAACAGGGCATGATGAAGGACTTATAAACCACGTCAAGTGCCTGACGACATAGAATTCTACTGTAAAGTTTTAATAACCCAATTAATTTATTCACTTTTTGCAGCAGATAGTCAACATGTTTAGTCCAGTCCAGTTTCGGTGTTAATATTAACCCTAGGTGTTTATGCGACTGAACATAACTGAGCACTGTTGCTCCAATTTGAAGTGTAGGTAGCATTTGCGGAGCTTTTATTAATGAGAACAACATTGATACGCATTTATCTGCATTCAAGGGTAGTTTCCAGTTAATAGACCATTTATACACTTTGTCAAGGTCACCATTGAACTGATTAGCCATTTGCAGCAGATTATTGCCTGTCATATACAGTGATGCATCATCAGCAAATAATTTGGTGACACTTATTAGGTCATCACATAAATCGTCAATGTACACTAAAAAAAGTAAGGGACCTACGGCAGATCCTTGAGGGCCCCTCTATTAATACGATGTACTGATGAATAATGGCCATCTACCACAGTCACAATTTCTCTTTCATACAGGTAACTTTCAAACCACTGAATTAAGGGCTCAGGTATTCCTTTAGCTGCCAACTTATATAAGAGGCCCTTATGCCAGACTGAATCAAAAGCTTTGGAAAAATCTAAAAAAACAGATAGAATGTATTGCTTTGTTTCAAAACCCTTATATATATGATGAACAATAGATAAAAGTTGATTTACACATGAGTCTCGATATCTGAAACCAGACTGATTCTTATTCAACAGATTATTGCCAACTAAATAGCTGTTTAGCTTCTTATAAATTAACTTTTCAAATATTTTCGATAGAATGGGCAAAAGAGTTATAGGCCTATAGTGTCTC